ACCTCCGTCACAAGCTGTCAAGGTTCCTAAACGAGCATTACAAACGAGGCGTTAGCGACATCCACCAGGTGCTCTTTGCTAATCGTTCAATTCGTTTTAAAATTCCTTTTCGAGACTTTTTTAACAAGATATTGGTATGTTCCATGTGATACTGCTCTTTTGAACAGATATAGACCAAAAAATGAGCGCCGAAATTTCGTTGTAGTATCCCTTTAAGGCTCACAAAGCTTCAAGTTTTCGCATCTGTTACACTGTTATCCCATCTACCTAGGTCCCTAACCACTCATGTTCATCTGTGCTGCTAAGCACATTTGAAATTACTCCCGTGCTCGTCTAAGACACAAGCTGAAGTGCAATGCAAACTGATCTGGGCTGCTGTTAGCCTGCTCCAGAATGGAGTTTTAACTGCTCCCAACCTGCTCCAAAACAGCGGTTTCAGCTGCTCCAGTGGCTGCTCCCAAATACATTTCATGAGTTCCACCCCTGTTGCCGTGGTCGCGCGACGTCGGGTGTTGCCGTAGACATGTTGCTGCAGATATGGCGCTTTCTAAACTGAAACGTTAGGACCGCCCTAATGTTCATCAACATTCCTGTTCTTGTTTAATACGCTACTACAAAAATCCTTCTAGCTCAAAGACTGCTGTGTCGAAGTACTGTTTACCTAGGTTTCTCTCGGTAGACTTCTTTCGAGAGAGACCCTGGTACGTGAAGAATATGCCGTGAAAGAAAGTTGGTGAAGAGAAGTGCGCTAAAGCAAAGAAGGTAATGTCTGCACACTGAACCCGCACAGTGTGCTTGTTTGTCTCGAGTTCAGTCGTTGCACAAAGCGCTTCCAGAACCTTTTGACTCTGGCTCGTGATGTCTTGCATCGATGTGCTCAGGTTCTTGTTTTTCTATTTTTTCTATGCGTTTAGCTTGCATTTCGCCAGCCAGTCTGGCAAGCACGTGCGGTTGGACTGTTTTTTTGTTGTATGCTGGACAGTTACATTTTGTGTACAATTTTGGGAACCAGTTGGCGAAGGAGCGGAGTGGCATGGTTTCGATCGAACAGCCATCTCCGCACGCGTGACAATTTCGCGTTGCACTGCAGTGGTCACATGTATCGACAGTTAGAGACTGCTTCCATTTATTATATAACTAGTCAACCTAATGCTGTGATATTTAATACTAAGCTGGTCATTTTCAAATAAATTTTAATATGTGTAGTTTGGTTATATACATATATATATATATATATATATATCATTTAAGTGAAGCATTGCAAAATGTGGCATGCCATTGGCATTTCAGTTACATGTTGAAAGATTCCCAGATGGTCTAACTTGACTATAATTTGTTTATTGCAGCGAGCAAAGTGTCCTTCGTGTGTCCAGCACTTGAAACAAATATTTTTATTTCTCTAGGAATATCAGCTCCAAAAGCTACTTTTGCTGCTCCGAAACACTGTTTTAGCTGCTCCAAAAGGTGCTCCGAAACGGCTTAGGCCAATCACATCACTGACTCCAGCATTTTCTTCATTGTCCCAGATTTGCCTGAAAATTTGCCAAACACACAAACATCACTGAAATAGTAACCCAGATTTTGGGCCAAAATATATACTGTGAACGACTTAATTTTTGCGAGGACATAATTTTCACGAATCGCCTACAACTCGCAAAAAATTGTTCCCGCAAACAATTCTGGTAAAATGTAAACACATTGGAATCTGTATTGAGATCCTACCGCGTCGCGAAAATTAGAGCTCGCAAAGTATTCCAAATCTTCAGCTTTGACCTGAATCGCGAAATAATGAGCCCGCGAAAAATAAGTCGTTTACAGTATATATTTTTTTCATGAAGTTGTTGAATTTACAATTTTGGTCCTCACCGTGTTTTTTAAAGTAAAATTTTTTATGGGCAACAGTGAAAAACTTCAGTCAGTGGTGTTATTTATGTAGCGAAATCTAGCACCGCCTATGTTGTGACACCATAGATCTGGTGTTGTGTTAGGTCTACTGGCTACTCGTCGCAGAACCTGCCAGTCGCCATCGTAACAATAAACAACACGTTATGTTTTAAAATTCATCTCTGTCCTGGTCATCCAACACTCAAAAAGAACCTATGTATAACATGGTGTCATAAATTCAGATATAAAATTAATACTACAGAGATTAGCCTAGTCACGCAGTAAGTACCTAGGAATAATTATAATTTCTAATCTAAATTGGAAGAATCACATTGCTAGCATTGTCTCGGTGACAACACAAAGGTTATGATTGTTAAGACACCGGCTAAAACATGACACTAGCAGAACTAAGTTGGTAGCCTACACATCCCTTGTAATACCCCATTCACACGAGCGGTTTAAAGGTACCTTGAGCATAGGTCCCTATCGTAAAGGGAGATGGAGCTCATGTTCACACGGCGCACAAAGGTCCCTTTTGCTAAAGGAGGGCTTACAATAAACGGAGCTCGCAGACCTCCCTTTACAGCTACAGGGAGTAAGTAGCCTTGGACCCATGAATTCCAAAAACAACAAAGTCTTGGAGACTGTCAGTTTTTTTTGTTTTGTTTTTCATTATTGCTTTATCTAGGGTTTACAGTGAAAAAAACCCATATTATTCGGTCTACTACCAAAAATCTGGCACCGTTCGTTGGGACCCGATAAACGTGCGTCTCGGTTTTTCTGTTTTTGATGTTTTTGTTGCGTCACAGTCATTGTTCGCACGCTTTGCTCGGAAACGACTCGGTGGCAATTGCCTCTCGTTTTGATATCAAGGAGGCTCTCCCTTGAACAATGCTGCAGTTGCGTCGCAAGTGTGCTTTTCTTCTTCCTGGTGCCTTGCCTTCGTACCAGTTCTGCGGGCAAAGAAAAGAGTGGGCAGATGCGGCGCAGTGAGTTGAACAGTGACCATTAATCTCGTTGCATCCTGTAACCACCCTTCTGCTGCGTCAATGTTTCTTTTTTTGGATGGGACTTGTTTTGTGCAGCTATGGGGGGAGGCGTCGAACGTTGGATCAGTCGTGCGTTTCTCGTTGATTTGCACCCGAAGCGTTTCGTTGCTGGTGTTGACTCCGAACGTTTCTTGTTTTCTGTGCTTTTGCCCACAATTTTTATTTGAAATTCAAGGTAAAGATTTAAAAAATTGAAATGTGAGGTTTTTTTTTTTTTTTTTTTTTCTCTTTTAGTTCTGACTTGTTGTTTTTGTTTTTGTTAGTTCTGACTTGTTTTTGTCACAACAGCCACATGTGATCCTTTCTCTGTTATCACATAATAATTTTTCTTGGGACACGAGGAAAACCTGAAGTCTATGTTGTCTAGCCGATTCTTAAGTGGGGCCCTCTTGTAGCCTTTTTGTGGATGTTTTTATGTTCATGCAGGTTAGATTATGCTGTCCTAATGTATTTCAAGTTATTTAAAATGTTTTCCAGAAAATTCAAGGTTGAGATTGGAAATTTCTCGTATTCCCAGGGATCTCGAGGCCAATAAGTAGTTGATGCCTCGATTAATTGACAACATTGGTTGACATTATTTCACGTAATTTAATTTTATTGACCTCAGTTTAATTTTATTGACCTAAATGATAAGATGTGTATTGTGTCTTTAATCTGCCTCATGAGGCGGATAGACACAATACACATCTTATCATTCCACAGTAAAAAAAGAGTAACAAACAAACTTAAAGTGAAACCCAATTGCAGTCTAAGATACAGTCAGTAAAGTGATATTACAAAAGTGACAAGTGTGAGACCGACTGATTGTGAATTGATAGATCTATGTATTGACATGGATACAGAAGTAGGTTACGGTTTTTGTTTAGTGACCTGTTTGGTACGAATGACTGATAGAGGCCTATGGACAAACATATTGAGCAATGAGATGGATAGTTTTTTTTGATTGGTTAATATATTATTTTGTTTGAAAAAAGATTCCTGAAAAAAAAGAATGTTGACATTTTCCCGGTGTTTTACTTCCTTGCCTCATCCTGTTTTCAAGCCCTTCTTGGCATACATACGGAAGTGTAATACGTTCCTATGGACAGATTGGTATTATTTGACTCTCATTCATCTACCGTTTGGTAAATGAATGACTCATAAATTGCCCAAACTAACGAATTTGCCAATTGCATAGCTAGTATGAGTTTGTTCCATTTGATTTGTAGCTCATTGGTTAGCTGATTTGACATGCACACAAAGAGTAGGTGCATCGGTCCTGATTGTCTGGTGGGTTAATTGGCTGGCCGACTAGATTTTAATGTGCTATTTCTTTCCCGACTTGTTGTCTGGTTGATTAGGCTTTTTGCAGAGGCAGGATGCATTTTTCTTCATGGGTTGATTGGCTGGCCAGTTAGGAGCACATACGGTGTTCCCACGCCTTTTGACTGATTGGTTGACTGACATCGCAGAGGTGGTGTGAATCGCCCCGGTGGGTTGATCGTCTGGCTAGCTCGATGCAGATGTGTGATGGGTTCCTTCCATATTGGCTGATTGGTTAACTGGCATACAAAGCCGGGATGAGTTTGACTCGATGGGCCCCTTGGCTGGTCAGGTGGCTGTAGATCTGTGATGCATTCCCCTGATTGGCTGATTGGTTTACTAGCTTTGCAGAGGCAGGATCTGTCTGTCCTGTTGGGTTAATTGGCTGACCGGCTAGATGCGGACATGCGATGCATTGGTACTTATTGATTGACTGATTAGTTAACAGGCATTGCAGAGCCAGGATCGTTTGTCCGAGTGGGTTGATTGGCTGGCGAGCTAGATGCAGATGTCTGATGCACTCTTTCCTGATTCACTGATTGGTTGACTGGCATTGTAGAGGCAGGGTCTGTTTGTCCCAATGGGTTAATTGGTTGATGGGCCAGATGCAGACGCGCGACACATCCCTTCCCAATTCACCGATCGGTTGACTGGCATGCTTGGGGGGGATCTGCTTTTCCCGATCCGTTGACTGTCTGGCCAGCTAGATTGAGACGCACAATGCGTTCCCCTCTCCCTCCTGATTGGCCGTGGGCGTTTGTACAGAGGCGGGATGCGTTCCTCCCGGCGGTGTCTCGCCCAATGAAAGACCCTCCCCTGGGCTCCCGTGCGTCGGCGGTGGATGGCCGGCCGAGCAGCCAGCAGGGGCCCGGCGTGAGCGGCGCAGGCTTCGATGACGACTACAACGAGTGGGAGCTGGGCATCGGGGACCTCATCATCGACCTGGACGCAGACATAGAGAAGAGCAACGACCCTGCCATGGCCTCTGCAGCCGCCGCAGCAGGGGGCCCCACGGCCGCCCAGGCCGTGCCCCCGCCAGCACAGGCCGCCGCCTCTTCGCCCCCCGTCGAGCACCAGGTAAGGGTCGATGTCTTTTACCCCTTCCCTTCCAGCGGTTCGGTGCAGCACCGGTGCCAGTTCTCGGTCATTTTATTGGGCTGCGTCGAACGGAGGAGGCACTGCCCCTAACGAACCTACTTGTCTCCAGCGCAGCCCCCATCTGTGCTGTCGTGTGACGCGACCCATCTCAGTAACACAATCCTGCGTGTGCCCCCCCCCCCCCCCCCCCCAAAAAAAAAAAAAAAATTACAATATTTTTTGTTGCAAAAACAAAGTATGCATCATCGAACGCTCAGTCTCTGCTCAAATGTAGCATTGGCTGTCCGAACCAGGTTCCAGAGTTTCGGAACGAGCCGTTATTTTGTTAAAAAGTTGTAAGCGATTTTCTAAAAATTTTAATGGGTAAGTGGGGCCCACTTTTGGTAGAGTGCACCATTCAGCCCCGTGTGTTCGTTGGCTTTGTCAATCGCAAGATTTTCGGAAATTGCCCATAACCTTTGGGTAAGATTATTCTTTGTTCTTAAACTTGGGCATCTAGTTCGGACCACTAGTGCTACATTAGGGCAGAAACTGAGTGTTCGACGATGCATAGTTTATGTTTGCAAATAAAGAATAAAGTCTACCGTATAATCACTAAAAATAAAGAATACTTTTTTTCTAAACCGTCTGGTTGGGACACACGTGTCAAAAAACTAATTTTGTGCAAAAATAAGATTTTTTTAGAGCAGTGTTGACGGCACGAGGTCCAATTTAGTCGGTAGTCACCTCCCTTCCATTTGTTTTCTCTCGCAGCATTTTGGGTGCATGGAGCAGAGGTGGATCGGCTTGGCCATCATGTTGAGATGGAGAGAGTGTACGACCATTCCATGACGTCGTGGACTGCGCGCAGAATCTAAAATAAATTTCGTGCCGTCAATATTGCTCCAAAAATTTATTTTTGCGTAAAATTAATTTTTTGGCACACACGTTCAGACCAGACTGTTTAACAGAAAAAAAATTTTCTTTTCAGTGGCCCACCCAAAATGGAGAGATAAATGGTGAAAAACATGAGCTGGACTATTTTTAAAAAATGAGGCAGCACAACTCAGTGATGTGATTGCTGCGCCAATTGCGCCAAACTGTGCCAAGGGGCTAACCCTGCTACATCCTGCTACATTTTGCCAAAATTTGGGTAATCTGCGCCAAGCCTGCGCCAAAAGACCAGTTGTGGTCGCCTTTCGAAATTGTAACTAAACTGAGTACCGTAATGAGCACACATGAGCTAGGTGGCGCAAGCGGTTGCCCGACACCAGAGCCGTATATTGGGAGAGTTTGGCCAATGGGCGGAGCAAAGGCCGCCGCCAGCGCCGAATACTGCCCCCCGCGGTTAGAGCGTAAACTAAAAGGACGACACAGCGTCGACCAATCAGCTGACTGCGATGTCACAATAACAGGGGTGGAACGGCTGCGCCATTTGCGCCATTTTGCGCCAGACGCATTTGTCTGCGCCATCCTGCGCCATTTTGCAGAAACTGCGCCACAGCCAATACCTCGCGCCATTATGCGCCAGATCGCAGAACGTGCACCAAGAAACTTTTTATTTTGTCTTGGTTTCGGTTTTATTGACTCAATTGGCAACAATGAGCGCGTTCAGCCTGGTCGGCCTTGCAATCCTTTGTTCTGTTTATTCTCCCTGTGTATCCCGAGTCGGAAGCGCGCGAAAAAACTCGGATTCTAAGCGCCACACCACCTGCGACTGGATTGTTATTCTTCAACCATAATTAACGGTTAAGCAAGTCGGCTGAGGTGAGGTCGAGTCGTTAAGCGTCAGATTGCCTGAGGCTCTGCGGCCCGGGATCCGGACGTCAGCCAGTTGAAAACAAATGAGCAAAAGATTCCTTTTAGTACTTCATCGTTAGAAGTTGGAACCGCATTCTCGCAAGATAAATCGTGATTTGATTGAACTGAAACGCGGTCCGATCCGAAACCTTTCCGGCCAGCAGCTCTTTTGCGAGTGATAGATCTGCTCGGCGTACTTTAACCTTGCTCCTGCTTATCGCTTCAAATACGATAACTTCGTTAATCGTAGTCTGCTGCTTCGTAATCGAGTTGCACAATAGGATAAACGCGAAATTTGTTGCCCTGTTCCTCCGTGCAACTGCACGTCCATTGCTTGCGCACGTCACGGGGTTCGCACCTATAATTACTATGTCGAGCACGTGTGGGTTGTGCGATAAGCAGTGCTGGTTTGCATTTTGAGCAGCTGAAAGCCGCTCGGAAAATATCAAGGACGCTATCTTGAGAAACAGAGTACTGGCTTTTTGATTCTCATTAAGGCTCACAAAGTTTCAAGTTTTCGCATCTGTTACACTGTTATCCCATCTACCTAGGTCCCTAACCATTCATGTTCATCTGTTCTGCTAAGTACGATTGAAATTGCTCCCGTGCTTGTCTAAGACGCAAGCTGAAGTGCAATGAAAACTGATCTGAGCTGCTCCTAGCCTGCTCCAGAACGTAGTTTTAGCTGCTCCCAACCTGCTCCAAAACAGCTGTTTCAGCTGCTCCCGTGGCTGCTCCCAGGTACATTTCATGAGTTCCACCCCTGCAATAATAAAAACAACATTTAAAGCGTGAAATAGAAGCGTTCAGTCTCGGCGTCTCGGTGACAGTTTGCTCTCCTTGTAGAACAGCGTCTTAGCTGAAACTGGCTGAAAGAAAACAGTGTAAAGGCTGGAGCGCGCGAGCGTCTCGAGATGCAGATTGAGTCCCGCTCAGCTCGTGCGCTGGCTTTGGCAGGGCTTTCTTTCCCCCAGTCTCAGCTGAGACGCTGTTTCTAGCAAGCCGGCCCTGGTTTGGAGCGCATGTTCATTCCTTCTGCCGTTGAATATGGACGTGATGACAACCCCACATGCGCCAAGTTTTCAGTCACCGAGAGTTATACCTTTTCACTCTAGCGACGCTAAAACACCTTAAATTAGTCGTGTCGCATATTTAGAGCTCACGACCACTGCTAGGGGCTGTTTCGAGGCCCGTGGTTGGCCCCGAAATGCTCGCCTATTCAAACCAATGTATGACCGAACTCTCCCAATAAACGGCTCTGCCCGACACAAAGTACCCTGCATCAATCGTTTATTCGGTCTTGCATGGTTTCTCCCGCTGCCTCTCGTTTCGCGCTCTCGGTGCTCTCGTCGTCTCGGGTCTTTTTAAACTTTTCCAACGACAGACGCGGGCATGTGCGGACGCTCCGACACTAGTGTACTGGGTACCAGCCATGCCATCCTGCTGTGAAGCAAAACCACGTTTTTGTGCGGCTGGAGTTACTTTGTGAGCTGAAGCACTTGCTCCTGAAAGCAACGACCGAGGGAAAACTATACAGTTGACTCTCATTAATTCCAACTCTCTTAATTCAAACTTGTGGATAATTCAAACTAACATGCAGGTCCCATCCTATGCATCTCTATGGGAGGGAACTCCCGTTAATTCAAACTCTGCTTAATTCAAACACATTTTTGGTCCCCCTCGAGTTTGAATTAACGAGATTCGACTGTATTTGGTCTCTGCCTGCCATTCACCGTGGTCGCGCGACGTCGGGTGTTGCCGTCGGGTGTTGCCGTCGGGTGTTGCAGATATGGCGCTTTCTTAACTGAAACGTAAGGACCACTCTAATGTTCATCAGCATTCCTGTTCTTGTTTAATACGCTACTACAAAATCCCTGTAGCTGAAAGACTGCTGTGTCGAAGTACTGTTTACCTACGTTTCTCTTTGTAGGCTTTTTTCGAGGTGACCCCGGTATGTGAAAAACCTGCCGTGAAAGTAAGTTGGTGAAGAGAAGTAGCTAAAGGGAGCAAAGAAGGCAACGTCTGCACGCTGAACCCGCGCAGCGCGCTTGTTTGTCTCGAGTTCAGTCGTTGCACAAAGTGCTCCGAGGACCTTTTTACTCTGGCTCGTGATGTCTTGCATCGATGTGCTCAGGTTTTTTTTTTTTTTTTCTGTGTGTTTAGCTTGTACCTCGCCAGCCAGTCTGGCAAGCACGTGCGGCTGAACTGTTTTTTGCCGTATACTGGACAGTTACATTTTGTGTACAATTTTGGGAACCAGTTGGCGACGAAGCGGAGTGGCATGGTTTCGATCAAACAGCCATCTCGCAATTTCACATTGCACTGCAGTTGTCACGTGGATCAGCAGTTCGAGACTGCTTCCATTTATTATATAACTGGTCAACCTAATGCTGGGATATTTAATACTAAGCTGGTCATTTTCATATAAATTTTAATATGTGCAGTTTGGTTCTTATTTACCTATAGCGGGTACATATATATGTATCGTTTAACTGAATCATAGCAAAATGTGTCACGTCATTGGCATTTCAGTTACATGTTGAAAGACTCCCCGGTGGTCTAACTTGACTATAATTTGTTTATTGCAGCGAGCAAAGTGTCCTTCATTTCTCCAGCACTTGAAACAAATATTTTTATTTTTATTCTAAGAATATCTGCTCCAAAACCCACTTTTTCTGCTCTGAAACACTGTTTTGGCTGCTCCGAAAGCCACTTTTGCTGCTCCAAAGCACTGTTTTGGCTGCTCCAAAAGGTGCTCCAAAATGGCTTAGGCCAATCACATCACTGACAACTTCATAAAAGAAATTAATGATAAACGCAGACGCACCCACCACAGACCAAGTGACACGGGAACTGTTACCACAGATTGCGGACACGGCAGCTTCGCATCTCATACGCGATAAACTCGAGGGAATTTGCTACAAACTCCTGCGTCACGGGGAAGGGCAGTGCAGACTGCGGATGCAGCAGGTTCATGCTTTACGGTGCGATAAACACAAGGGCACTGGCTACAAACTTACGTGCCACAAAAACTGATGTCGCGCTTGCAGATTGCCAACAAAAAATGCAAGAACTCGCTACGAACTCGCATCTTGCAGGAACCGATATTACGTGCTGCAATCGCGCACAAAATTGCAGGAACCAGTTGCAGACCCTCTCATCACGTGTGTACCGGTAGCGCAGATCGCGCGGTTGATGCGATTCTTGTCTGACATTGTGTGTTACGAATATTTAGCCAGAAAACACGAAATGGACAATCTCTCGGGGGAGGGCGTCCTTATGGGATTTCACGGCGAGCTTTTTGTTTTGGGGGGTCACCCCATACACAAGTCAAAAAGTGTTACCATCGAGCTTGCGCATTTTCGGCGCAAGTTCGGCGTCGGCACCGCTTGTCTCAAGCGAGCAGAAGTGTGGCAGTTTCTGTTGCCGCCGAGTGAACACGGGTTGACGCGGGACACTTCGGCGTCTGTTTCAGGCCACGGTGGATAAGGGCCTCAAGATGAAGATAAAGCGCAAGAACCTTGCCAAACACGAGATTGTGAAGGCGCAGGACACGGGGTCGTCACCACTGCCGGCCAACAGCGCCTCCTCTTCCGCCGCTACCAAGCACTCGTCGTCGTCCTCCTTGTCCTCTTCCTCGTCGAAAGGGGGCAGCGGCCGCAGCGGGTCCCACAAGAAGAAGCGGCTCGAGAACGGCGCCTCTCCGCCGCGGCTCCCGCCGCAGTGCGCCCTGGGTGTGACGCAGGGCGCTCCGGAGTCGCCCCTGCCGCCCCTGCCTGCCCCCTCATCCGTGGTGGCAACGGCGGTGACGGAGCAGCAGCAGTCGGCCAATGGCGTGTCTCCACCCTCGCCGGTCGCGGAAGAGGTTGCGGCGGAGGAGGCGGCGTCCGAGGTGCCGCTCAAGAAAATCAAGGTGAGCCCGTAGACTACCTCCTTTGTAAGAACAAGTGGAAATGACCTGGTGTCGTGCAGTGTCGTCAGGTGTAAGCCATTTCTGGCTGTTCCGACCTCGAGCCGTGCAAGATCTTCTGTTTTGCCGTTTTGTGTCTGTTTTGTGCCTTTGATCCAAAGGACATGCACACACAAAAGTGACTTCTGTGACTCGTAAACAAATAATAATACACAAAACAACATGTGCACGAGTGCACATTTTTAACAGATGTTTAGAGAAAACAACTTGGCAGTTTAGTGGAGGCTTGAGTGGTCTCGAAGCCGCATTGCGCCTTCTCGGCTGGCGCAACCAAATGCTTCGGGAGTCTTCGCAATGTCTCAAAAAGCAAAAAAACATTTTTAACAAAAAAAAAAAAAAAAAAAAAGTCAATGTCATTGCAAAAAATTATAAAAATTTGTAACAATGTTTAATTGCAAGACGCAGTTAGATGAAATGAATGGATTGATGCTTGAATTTCTGAAGACATAGTTATGGCAAAGTAGAATGTGAAATGCCCGCGCTCACCGCACCGAGGTCAGGTAAGCACGTACTGATGTGCTACACCGTTCTACTGCTACTTATGCTCACAGGCGATGAAATAGCAAATTCGTTATGCATTTTTGTCACATCGGTTTCATGAACTTACTTCCACGTGGCAGCCTAAGATATTGTCCTATAAAAAGCTGAGCACATCGAGTGCGTACTCAAGAAAGTGCACTATATTCGGTTTCACCTTGCCACAGACCACTGCGGCGGATGCCGTGAGCCATCCCGGAGGTCACACGACACTCGCGCAGCATTACGTTCAATGCTTTGGCTTTAGCGCTGTGGTTAATTGTAAGGTGAAACGGAGTATAGGCAATTTCCTGGGGGGCGGGCTCTGAGAGCAACCCCTGGGTGGGTCCCTTGGATGCAGACGGAGTGCCCCGAGAGTCCCTCTCGGAGTGCGGTGGCGGCCACGAGCGGCCCCGTGGAGCGCAGGGACTCGGGCGTGCTCTGCTCTTCGGTGGGCACCATCACGGAGCCGGACTGCTTGGGGCCCTGCGAGCCGGGCACGAGCGTCACCCTGGAGGGCATTGTCTGGCAGGAGACGGAAGGAGGTCAGTTGTCGGCCCATTCCCGTCGTGGCTTGGATGTTTGGCAGCCACAGCCATCCGCAGCTAGCCACAGTGTTCCTTTGAGCCCTGGCACCTGCAGTGGGGGCATGCGACAGTGCCAAGACGGTTGGGACAAGCCTGTCCCTTCCATCTTTGCTCGGATCTGCAGCAGCCGCAGCCAGCTGTGGCCAACTGCAGTGGTCTTTTGAGCCTTTGCATCTATAGTGGGTGGGGCATATGACAGTGCCGGGATAGTTGGGACAATGTGACAAGACACTCTCTTTCCCCTTGGCTTAAAGATGTGGCAGTTGCAGCTGCAGCCCCCTTCAGCCAGCTGCAGTGGCCTTTAGAGCCCTGACATGTGCAGGGGGGGGGGTGCATGTGGCAGTGCCAGGATGGTGGGGAGAAGTTTGCCTGACCCAGTGTCACTAAATGCTGGCTGGGTTCATGAGGACACTTCCATTGTCACTGACAAAGAAGGGAGTAGAAAATATGCAGGCGTTACATAGTGTAAAGTGGTAGGATGCGAGGAGTTCCAAGCTTTTTTTATGTGAAATATGTGTGTTGGTTACGTTTTTGTGCAGTCACAACCTTGTGGTCACCGTTGCATACTATAGGCTAGTGTTTGCATTACACTGACATGGCATCTGCTAGCAGGGGGAAATGGAAATTGGTTTGTTACTGTCTGAGAATTGTCCAGAAATAGGACTCGAAAGATGTTAGAGTTGGGTAAAATCTGCAGGCTATTACAATTTCATGCACTCTCTTCTTTATCTGTTTGCATATGGTGGTGTGGCCTGTCTCCAGCCTCTTGTGACTGGTAAAATAAGTCTGAGAACCTTAGAAATACTCACTAGATACAGTAAACTCTCACTTGAGTGAACTTCAAGGGACCCAAAGAAACAGTCCACTTATCTGAAAGTTCACTAAACTGAATATATTCACTAGAATATGGAACATCACAGGGCACAGCATACATCGAGTCAAAAGTGTAAAGTGCAATTAATGGAGTCATGTACATCGATATATACAAAGTGCATAACAGATACATTGCTGCCTTTCTCATTTTGAAAAAAATCTGTAATTTTCATTTGCACCGGCTCTCCTAAAGCGCGTGAAGTAACAAAATTGTCCAGAGAGTCTATGTTTTTTTGCACTTCCTCTGGCACAACTTGTTGCTGTGACGAAGCCATACCGCAACGGCATCGTCCACTTGCTTCAAATATCCCCTGCAGGGTTGTTTCCAGTTGGGATTGAACGCAGTTTCTCCTTCAAGCTTTGACTTTTGCTTCACCATCGTTGACAATGTCGGCGGTGGAATCCCATAGTCCTTCACAAGGTCCACTTGCCTTTGACCGTTGTCCAGATGCTGAAGGATTTTGAGCTCGTCTGATAGAGACAACCGCTTCCGTTTCGTCGCACTCATTGCAAAAGTGGGCGCACAAACTGCCGTCCTGCCGTTGTTGCCCAAAAATAAGATGGCCGAACGGAAACAATCACAAAGAAAAAACAGACACACCACGTGGTTTGTTTTCGTCAACCGCACCGTTGCGTAGCCTTGGTGGCGCTGTTAACGCCAACGATGATACGCCGCCGCTGCAGAGGCGGCGGCGGTAAGGTGGGGGCATCGGCTACACCAGCACTGCAGAGCACAAAACTTCGTTGAACTGATTGCAAAAGTAATCCCGGGTCCACCGATCAAGTTTGTTGAACTGAAATATTTGCTATCCCGAAATTCGTTTTTCGTTTAAGTGAAACATTCTTGCACAAAAAAGCATAGAAAAACTGCCGGAAATTTTTAAAAAGGTTGTTATTCTAAAATATTTGTTAAACCGACTTTCGCTCGAGTGAGAGTTTACTGTACTTGGGATTTCAGTTGAAATTGAATCCCGTAGGCAAAGAGCCATCGCGCGAAAGTTCGGTCGTGTCACACTTGTCCTTAATTGGTGGCTGTAGAGAACATTCTTTTGTCATGTTTGAAAATTTGAGAATGCTGTTGTAATGGGTGTCATGAATTGTCGAATTGTTGCTCCATGGGAAAGAAACTGGGCACCAAACGTAAGAGAGGCCCATGTCGCACTGTGTATACATTGCTGCATTTCTTAATGGTGGGATTTTGAACGAACAATGCATCAGGCTCAAGAGTATTTCTGTTGTTCTGCAGGGGTCCTGGTGGTGAACGTGACATGGCGAGGCAAGACGTACGTGGGCACACTCCTCGACTGCACCCGCCACGATTGGGCGCCCCCCCGCTTCTGCGAGTCCCCCACGAGCGACCTTGACGCGAAGGGGGGCCTCCCCAAGGGGGGACGCCCCAAGCGAGCCAGGGGGGACCCCGAGGCGGCCAACCGCGGGGGGTGCACCCCGGTGCAGGGCAAGCTGCGCAATGGCAAGGGCCGCCGCTTCGCGGTCCCCTGCAGCCCCGCCAAGGGAGAGGGCCGCAGGCGCACGGCCACGCGGCCCCCCGAGCTCGAGCTCAGCCCCCCGGACAAGAAGCGCGCCCGGGCACGGGGCACCCCCCCGACCCCCGAGGCCCCCTGCTCCCCCGCGCTCATCCCCTGCCCGGAGCCCCACTGCGGCAAGAAGTACAAGCACATCAATGGGCTACGCTACCACCAGAGCCACGCGCATGGCTGCGGGGACGCCAAGGGTGGAGAGGAGGAGACCTCGGACGGGGGGGAGGAAGGGAGCAGCCCCCCCAGCCCCACCATCCTCCCCCCGGCCCCCCCGGTTGCTGTGGCCCCCGTGGCAGCCCCCGCGGCGCCGGAGGAACCCTCTCCGAGTCCCCCTGTGTCGGTCACAGTCAGCATCCCGACGTCCCAGGTGTTTTCGTTCGTGCCCGCCGCCCCTCGTGCCGCTTCCCCGCCCCCCGTGCGTGCCCTGGCGACCCCAGTGTGTCCCCCAGACTCCGTACCCTCTGTGGCCCCCCCGAGTCCCCCCAAGGCCGCCCCTCCTGCCGTTGCGGAGCCCCTTGGCCAGGCTGTCGTTCCGCAGGCGGCGTCATTGGACACAGTGTTGCGGCAGCACAAGCGGCCCCACAAGAAGGGCAAGGGACGCAAGTCGGAGGGGGGGCCCCCAGAGGAGGCCCCCGAAGGTCCCTTACCCCTTGCCGCCGCCGCAACCGCGGAGACTAGCCTGCCTTTGGAGCAAGCGCCCCCGAACCTGGAAGAAAGTGTTCAAAGCCCTGCGTACTCTGACATTTCGGACGACGCGGCACCCCTTCTCGAGGCTGCCAAGGACAAGGAGCCCCCCCGCGGACCCCCTGGGGAGCTGTACGGGGTGTACCCTTACTTCGGGCAGCCACCCTACCTCCTGCCAGGGGTCCAGCCCCCACCCGAAGCGAAGCCGCCCCCTCCCCCGAACCCCGCCGCAGAAGAGGAGGCGGCCAAGAAGGAGGGGGGCGTCCTCCGCGACAAGGCCCCCAAGGAGCCCTCGCGGGACGGCCCCACTCCCCAGGAACCCCCCGGGAAGAAGCCGGACTTCCCCCAGTTCCCACCCTACTCGCTGTGCGCAGGCGGACCCTACGTCGGGGGCGGGCCCCCCGGCTACCCTTTTCATGAGCCGTACCACGTGCACATGGTGGACTCTTCGCCCTCCGCATTCAAAGAGGACAAGTCGGGGGGTAAGGACGCGCCAGGCGTTGACAAGGGGGCCCCACCCCCCCTTGACAAGAACAGTCCGCGCGTGTTGCCTCCGCTCCCCCGCCGCAACCAGTCCCCGGAGGTCCCCGTGCCCCCCAAGGAGCGCCTGTGCAAGGAGGAGGCAAAGGAGGAGCCCAAGTTCAGCCCATACGAGCCGCTCTACGAGCGGCGCTTCCTCTACCTCCAGGACCCTCCCCCCGCCGAGGCCCCGCCCAAGGAGGCCCCGCCCACTCCCAAGGCCCCGCCCCCACACCCCCCAAAGTCCCGCGCCCCCAAGGAGCCCAAGGACAAGGACGGGGGCGGGCAGAAGCCGACGATGGAGACGACGGGTCCGCCCCCGCCCTCCAACTACGCCTACCTGCACCCGGGCTACCTGCCCCCTCACTTCCCGCCCCACGTGGCCTTTGAGTCGGTGTACCGGGGCCTGCCCCACTACGGAGGCTCGCCCTACCTGCGCTTCCACGTGCCGGCCCCCGAGGTGCCCCAGCAGGCGCCGGGGCCGCCCGTCGTGGGGCAGGTGGGGGGCCCGCAGGGGCCTCCTAAGGCTCTCGACCTCCTACACCAGGTGTCACAACACTACAGGTGGGTTAAAGCGTTCCTTTGCCCATCTTTACGGGCCTTCATGCATCAACAGTCGCGTCTCGTTAACGTGAATACCTTCTACATGCACCAGCTCGACTCTGATGTCTCGCACCTGCAGTGGCGCTGCTGTAGCCACTGCGCATGCTCAGACGCTTTATCTCGCTCGAATCTGGTTTCTGGGTACGTGCAGTGTTCACGCCTTGCGTGGACGCTGCATGTTGCTTTATAGATCAAATTTTCGGCCACCAACCAGGGAAATGTGTACATTTTGGTCTTGTTATTATGGATAGCTCGCATTATGGACAACTTGCATGATGAACAACTCTCATTATGGACAACTCGCACGATTAGCGATTTATTCATAATTTATATATTTCTGTAGGCCAGTCTTTGTAGGGAGGCCTAGATATTTAGAAATGCGGCAACCAGAAACGTCCCAACATTAGCATTAGAGAAAAAAATGTTTGCGACTCAAAATTCTGTTTTCTTTCTGCACGAAAGGTGCCAGTCTAAAACCAACTGCCAGAAGCATCCCCCACTCTTTTTTAATTGTTTGCGATGGTGAAACGGTATTCAGAATATTTTTTAAAGGAATGAGTTGTTTTGGGACACTTATTTGGCAATAAAATTGAAAGATTTGACGTATTTTAATTTTTATTACTACCAAAACATTCAAATTATGTTGATTTAAATTTAAAAAAATACAATCAGTTTATGACTGCATCTTTACAATCAGTCTTGGGGTATAAAATACAATCACTCTTGGGGAATTGTAAAGTCTATAAGACTGGTCCTTTGGTTTTGGTTTGATTGTTTGCTTTTCTTAGCAAGTAGACTCTGTAGCAAGAAAAATGAATTTGCAGTACTTGGACATCATACTCAGGTGCTTTGCCTTGTTTTCTTAATGCCTGTGACTGGAGGGACAAATTTTGCAACCAATCAAAGTCTTGAACTCCCTTCTATGCCTGACAACTTCTTCATTTCTTTTTTCCTTGTGTGCTGTACCAAAGGTTTAGAAAACTAAAACAATGAAATGTTTGCCTATGGACAGCAGAGTTCATGCTCCAAAAAAAGTGTTTGCCCCTAAAATATGACCTCTATACTCAATCTCACTAGTTGCACGCACTACTGCGGAAGGGAGAGCGATTTTTGTCAGAATTTCGAGCGACGGGTTAATCTTCTATACTCATTTTTACCTCAAGGAAAAAAAAAAAATAAAGAAAAGAGGAAGTTTGGCGCATTGTTCATACGTTGCGCAAAGTACTGTCAAACCCTTTTTTTTCGTGGCCCCTGTTTTTCGCGAATCAGTCAAAGAGCAACTAATTGCGGCCACTGAATTTCGCGAATTTCGGACGCCTGCATTGAAACTCTTAAAGGGGTCATGAAACGCTTTTCCAACTTTTTCCTGTTTCGCTTTCCTCCTCAACTCATAAATCGCGCATTCCAGCAAACAGTTCAAGAAGACGAAAAGAAGGGAGGCCCCTCTTGCTCGGAATCTGGTTTGTGTAACCGGACAGAGCCATTGTCCCCCTAGAATATTAGCCCGTCGCTCAAAACTCAGACAAAAGTTTCTTTCCCTAGCTCGTTCACCCCTAAGCTGACAGTGCTGTGGAAGCTACGTGCTCCTTGGGCTAGCCACACTTTTGCCACGTAAGCGTGGCAAATGTGGCTGCAGAGATTGAAGTCAGGTGATGAAACGGAGGTGGCTGATTGGTCCGGCAAGCGCGTAGCTTCCACCACAATGTCAGCTTTGGGGTGAAGGGACTAAATGAGGTCCGGTCTTGTGTGACGTCAGTTTGGACCCGATGACACGCTTTTGGGACCGCGGATGTATCCCAGTGAAAAGGCAGAGCGGTTACGAAGGGGAGAAGGAACGAAATAGTCCGCTGTGTTTTCAAATTTTCGCACTGAATGTCAGGCTTTTGACTTTCTACCTTTTTGCTTTTGGCCCACTGAACGATGTTCTATTAGTAAAATCCCAATCTAAAATGATTTATCCCGACCCAAAAATCGTTTCATGGGCCCTTTAAGGACCAAAATTTTCGCGTGCCCTTAAATTTTGCAAATTTTTTCAGTTCGTGAAATTTGCTAAAATTAGGCATGGGTGAATAGAGGATTTCGGGTCCGAATCACATTCGAAGCGAATAGTGATTTTAGCCGAATAATTTTGAGTTGAATAGTTTGAATAGCAAAAGCAACAAATACAAGATGTGTTTAAACTATAGTTTTATATTTGCCCATATTTGGTATTAGATATGCTGTAATTGTTAATTTCAAGTGCACCGAGTTCGGGAGCACGAAATGGTGGAAATGGTCGGAAGCTTGCACCACCTGGCCGGAAATCCAAGCCATAGTATTCGGAAAGGTCGAATAATTCAATATTGTTGAATAATTTGATATGGTCGAATACTTAAATTCAGTTCGAACCGAATGCCGAATAGAACAGAATTCGATGGGCTATTCGTAATAATCGAATATTCGCCCATCCCTAGCTAAAATAAGGGGCTCGCGAACATTAAAGGGGGGGGGGGGGGGTGCAACGATTTCCGGACTTCGGTCAGACATTTGTGGAATTTGCCCTCTGACACTTCTAAAGTAAAAAAAAGAAAACCGATTTCGCCTACGTGTCCTAAATGTTGTGTAAAAAAAAAGATAAATATTGGCATTTCTGGCACCCCTCAACTCACTCCCAGTCTTCAGGGTCACACCTGGTCCCCCTCCTAGTGACGTAGTTCGGGGTGCCATGTAGCTTCCCGTATGCTCTCTCGGAGGAAGCTTACTCTCCCTGTCTCTGCTGACATTAGCAGGCGTTACGCTGTAGCTTAGAGCCGGGACGTAAGCTTCTCGCCGTAGTTCCTTCAGCTGCCACTCGCTGCTGCAGGTGGGGGAAAAAGCTTGACTTTTGCTTTGCAATTATGCAGTAAAATTGCGACATTTTTTAATGAAGGAGATGTTTTCTGTGTCCTCCGGGACACGATAAACAACATAAAAATGACGAGATGCAAATTCTTTTAATCTTAAAATCGTTGCACCCCCCCCCCCCCCCCCCCTTTTAAAGGGTAACTGCAAAGAAAAAAAAGTATTTTTAAACAGCCTAATTGAGACAAGCATGTCACAAAACAATCTTTCCGTGAACAAAAACAAATTTTACAGCAATATTTATTACGCGAGACTGATTTTAGTGTGCGGCTATTTCGTCCGTTTTAAATCGCGCGCCACAAAGTTGGTATTATACGTCACGGAGTGGCTGTTATACGTCATGGAGTGACGTATTACAGCCATTCTGCGCGCGTCGCAAGAGTGGGCGTTTCAAATGTGGAGAGGTTGTGACTCCGACTAAATTACGTCCTGTGGCGTAAATATTGCTAAAAAAATTTTGTTTATTTGCGGAAGGTATGTTTTGTGACATGCTTGTTCCAATTAGGCTGTTTAAAAAACATTTTTTTTCTTTGCAGTTACCCTTTAAGGGTCTTACAGTAGTTTCTACAAGATTTGGTTATCGGAGGAAGAAGCGATGCTTTTGGCGTTTGAAGCGTCTATTTCTTTGTAAGACTCTATATATGGTATATATAATCAAAAATGCACCTACATATATCTTAATTCTCTACTCAAAGGGGGAACTTAGTAATGGCCCCCGAGGAGCCTGACTGCTTTTACTACAGTTCTTGAGACGAAAACGAGTACAGGGGGAGAATGGCGACGTGCCGGGTACACAAAGGAGGGTCTGAGCAAGAAGGGAGTTCATCCTTTCTGTCCTCTTGAACTGCTTGCAGTATACTGTATAGTATACTGCAAGCATTATAGTGTCGATGCAAAAGTATAGTGTCAATGAGCCACAGCATAGGCTATCACCATGTAGTTGCTTGCCAGACATGAAGTGCCCTGCGTTTCTTTCGGACACCCAACCTCGAGCATGTGCTCCTCACCTTCTGTCATGCTTTGGCTGCACTTTAAAACTCCCAAGGTGCCCGTGTATTATCAAAGGAAAAGCTTGTGTTAAAGGCGGGCCGACCGAAACACTTCCCTGTCAGTCTTATTTGGTCGATGTCTATGCATCGAAAATGGACTCTATAACTGGACCCCAACGTTTATTGGTAGCGCTTTGATAACCTAACCGTAACATCCGCAATATGTTTTGCCTCATTTTTCTTGTTCGGCTTTTGGGGTAATCTGTTCGGGACGCAACTCAAACACGCATTGCATTCTGCGTTGGTTGGCTTTGTGCAAAGTGTCGAGACGAGTTCAAACGTCTTGCGGCAACGCGAGAACGTAGCAGCCGTAACGATACTCGTTTAAGCTGCTTCGCGGACGCACGGATAAAGCGTCTGGCTGTGAAGCTAGGGGTCTGGGGTTCAGTTCCTGGCGAGGGACAAAGCGTTCTTGTAAAGACACCCAACGGGTGCCGAGGGACACTTGGCTGTGCAATCATATTTCATAACAACTGTTTGTGATGCCCCACGGTCGTCGACAGCGTAAGAATGGCAGGGACGTTTTTCAGCTGTCCTGCCTCCAGCTCGATCTTAGGACCTTCGACAATACTTCCGCGTCCCGTAAGCTTGGAACACGCGTTCGCAGTCAAAGCACCGCGAAAGGCAGCGAGCACATGCCGGAGGCGGGGAACCTAAAGGAGACGCCTTGCCAGTGTCATCCTGTAGGCAACTAATCGTGGCTTGCACGTGACATCACCGCACCACGCTGGTGCTCATTCCTGCTTGTTCTTGCCAAAAAAGAAAAACAAGAAACGAATTTGGTGGCAAAAGGTATGGGCTCGGCAACAAGACCACCACCAATGCCAGCTGATATGACGACAATGCAAGTTGCATATAGTCTTGGAAACCAGTCCTTAAACATGTTGTGCAGTAATGAATGCTCCTCTTTTCTCACCACAGCAACCACAAGATTCATGAGCTACAGGAGCGTGCGGTGCCTTCTCCCTCTCCGCACGCGGGTCCGGGGGACCGCCCCCCTAGGGGGGGCCCTCCGGAAAAGGGTCCCCCCCGGGGGGATCCGGGCCCCCTGGCGCCCTTGGAGGCTGGTCCCAAGGGCGGCGGGATGCCGGTGGCGGGGGTTCCCCTGGGTGGGGTCCCGCCCCAGCAGCAGCAGGGGCCGGGGCCGGGGGGCGGGCCCCCCGTCCCCACACAGAACCCCGACGGGACGTCACGGTCGCCGCCCCCACAGAGGCATCTGCACACGCACCACCACACGCACGTCGGCGTGGGGTACCCCCTCTACGACCCCTACGGAGGTGGGAGTGCCCTTTCTTGATTTGGGGAGGGGGGCATATATATGGATTGGAGCCACTACAGAGCAAATCATACTTAATGAACATGCGAGTACTTGTGCAAAAAGTGTGGGCACCGTACGAATGCAGAAGGCAATCTCGTTTTCACCAAATGTATGAGCAAAGCCAAACCCACAAGTGCAAGCATACTGCCCTGAATGACTCTTGCACTGCATGGGTGCACGATTTCGGCAGGTCCGCTCATAGTGCAGAGCTTGCGCTTGTAGCCTCTACTATGCTCAAACTTGGAAGTGACGCAGGCACCTGCCAAATGCCTACAATTTGCACATGAAAGTTCAGAACAGCGCTACTGCTGTGAGGTAATGTCGGAGATATAAGTTTGGGAATACTAAGTTACACCTCGCAATTACTGCAACGGGCACTATGAGCCAGCGGAGTCAATCTATGGCTCGGAGGATGTCGCATGACCTTCTGGTTGGGCGGAGTGCTCCTTGGAGTGTGAAGTTACATGTAATGCTTGGTGCGCTGGATTGACTAGTATGGCTCGTAGCGTCTTCTGCGGTTCGTTGTAAGGAGAGACAGAGTACAGTGCTGTGTTCTAAGATTTACTTAATCTCGCTCAAGAGTAAGGTCTTGTACCTTGGTGCAAGAAAAGCTATTCACATGTACCTTGGCGTAATGTGACACACGGGAGTAGCTTGAATCTACTCGAGTAACATTTGCATTGCAGCCTAGACACGCTGTGCTTTAAAGCAGTGGTTCTCAACCATTGATGTTTCGCGAACCCCTTGGGGATCGGCTGAGATGATGGAGGGCCCTGTTCGTGGTAAGGAAAAGGGGAAGATATCGGTTAAATATGATAATGATTTAATAAATGGATATAACTAGGGGTTGTGTTTAGTAGACTTCTCTCATTAACCTAGACTCGAGAAAGCTCTCCCGAAAATCGGAATGTTTCTTCTCAATCTAAAAGAACCAAAGATTATAGCCGGTCTTGACTGATGAGGCAGGGCTTCGCAGACCCTTAGAATACCTTCGCGGACCCTTATTTGAGAACCACTGCTTTAAAGCAATGTTACCTCGCGCCGTATCAAAATGGTTTGACGCTTCTACCGTAATTGTGAAGAACACTTTTATATACATATGCCTGGACATTCAATCTGTTTTTCTGATGTGGAAATCAGTCAAGCTTGACACATTTTGTGTTCGTGACATAATTCGCCCATGAATCCCTCGGATGTTATGGTACTAAATGATATTATTTTAAACAGTTACATTTCCTAGTCCAAATCACTATGATGAAGCCTATTTCAAACCTCTTGATGCATTTGATCTACCCTATTTACTCGCATAATGAACGCACCCACATAATGAATTCACCCCCCACAATGAGTACCAATAGATGGACTTTTTTTTTTTTTTTCTCGCGCAATAAACGCATTTTTAATTTTCAGCTTTGCGAGTCTCAAATTGCATCCAATCTAGCTAGCTACCACGCCAATTTTCTTTTGCCGCTAAGCGGTCGGGCCACGACAAGCCAAGCCAAGCCAATCTTGTAATGGCTGCAAGTTTGTAGTTGCGGTAGTTGCGGAAGTGATCAACCGTGAAACTGAGCTGCGCGCGCACTTGACAGAGCTTGGGTCTGCGCTTGGGTCAATTGCCCAGCCCCGGACATTCTTCGCCTATCGGATGCATTGATGTCAACAAACACGCTGTTGTCCGCTTTCGGACAGTGAAATCGTGAAAGTGGTTGGGCCTAATTTTACGTTTTGCGTTTATTTAATCCCTAACAGAACGGCGTTTATATAATCCCTAACAGAACTGCATTTATTTAATCCCTAACAGAATGGCGCCGCAAGGTGCACGCTGCATAGTAGGTTGAGAGTGTCTGGTAGCCCCTAGTAACAGCCGTCTCTGTAAACGAAACTCGTGCTTGAGAGTGTCCGGTAGCCCCTAGTAACAGCAGTCTCCATGAACGAAACTTGATCCATGCGAGCGGGCCTCCAGCGTCGGCGGTTTGACTTCGTACGAGTTTTTATGAGCATAGTCGTACAAGTTCTTATAAGCGTGGTCGCAGTATATAGTTGAGCCTGCCGCCGGATACTAGCAATATATATCACCTAAGAACAGTCCCGTTGCTTTCGTTGCTTTCCGTGCTGAGTGAGCTTTGTGGGCGCTTTTCCTTCGGCAAAAGGCATGCCGAAAGCGCCCTAAAACGGTTTGCAGTTTATAAAGCATGGTTACTGTGGTGCGTCCCCCATCAGCCGTAGGTGTGCCTCCATCAGTGGAGACGTGCCACAGTACCTTGCCATGTTATACAGTCGAACCTCGGTATAACGAACTTCAATGTAACGAAATCCTCGATTTAACAAAGTATTTTATTTTTCATAATTTCTTGCCCATAGACTCCATGTATTTTTAGTCTCTATATAACGAAGTCTATTTTGCTGCTACTTCAATATAACGAAGCGCCATTGCCATAGAAGGCAATAAATAAATACTCTAAAAAACAACTTCGCAAAAAAATTGTGGTTAAATAAAAAAATATGCGCAAACGCGAGCGCTTGCTAGGTTACTTCACGGGGACAGGCCTTCCAACGTTCCTAGGCTGCCCGAGGATGCGGCGCCGGTAGCGCCGGCGAGGCGTGGGGCAAAGCGGATTCCGCGGGGCTGGCCAGAAAATGCCGAGCAAAAAGTTAACACGGCATAGCAGCATCACCACTGACATTCACTGATCATCATAGTTCACTGTACCGCGGGTAGCGCGGGAGCCAACTTCAGCGGGGGAGCAACGTGATGGCGCGACCGGCGCGACCGCGCGGGCAGTGCCATCTAGGAGAAGACCGAGAAGACCGATTATCGTCTTGCGAGCGTGATGTAAAGCAAAGGCGCAAGCACACTGTGGGCGCAAGGGTGCAAGTATACTGTGCGGTCAAGAGTGCTGTGTAGGTTGGAAACATTGGCACCGCCTAAACTAAACAGCTTTATCTTTCAACCGGGCGGTTCACTCACGTGTTTGCTGCCATAAGGAAACGTAAAGTTCTTTTTTTGGATGAGAAAGCAAACGTTTTGGACGCCATCCTGAAGAAACTGCCGAGATCACGAGCACTCGGGAAGTGCTCGACGCAATGGACGTACTGAGGAGGTACACGGCGTCGCATGGGCAGCAGGATGCCGTGCAAGCGCTCTGGGCGCTCGAACGCCGTATGACGCCGCTGCTACTGTCGGACAAGGCGCAAGCAAAACTCGCGGACTACTTTGCCCCTAAATAAATGTCATTTTCGGTGACTTTTCATACCCGTAAAATGTTTCGGAATTTTTTTTTTTTTGCATGCTAAAGCCAAATTTCGATTTAGCGAAATTTCAATGTAACGAAGTAAATTGCGAATTTTACCGACTTCGTTACATCGAGGTTCAACTGTATTGGCACCTAATAGGTATGACATTTGCACGAAGTGTGTAAATGCTAAAATTTTACCTTGCGAAATGAACCCCCCTCCCTCCCCCCCCCAAATAGGTGTCCCTTTTCGGGACAAAAAGTGCATTCATTATGCGAGTAAATACGGTATGCTACATTGTTTTTATGATGTGCCTAACGGAAAACACAGGAAGCGCTTTTGGTTGTCCCGTTTGCTAAAAGGAGCCAGCGACGGAGCTAATTGATACTGCCAGTACCTCCTAACAATTTCTAAATCTAAGAGAATAACGTTTTGAAACCATAACTGTTGCCTCCATGATTTGTCAGTGCATAATCAAATGTCACATGATGTCAACGAACAAATGACCATCGTGGAGATCTCAGCCGATGAAAAGAAAGGGTGTCGATACCGTGAGTCTAGATGACTCTAGGGAGGACGATATTGATGTTGTGCGGTATTTTTTAGCTCGAGCAACAACCATGCTTGGAAGCTTGACCTTATGCTGGCGCATTTGTGGCTTGATACGAAAGAGCTGTTTAGAATGTGCTGAAAATGCCTTTCTTTTTCTCTTATGTTGGAGTCTGCTCAGCAGGAGCTAGAGGCATCATCAAGATTAAGCAAATTTCTCGCTTTTGTTTTTTTATAGTACGCATTATCGTAGTGGTTGACAGTGAGTGCCTTTGATATTGGCACGATGCCGATTACCTTGTCACTGTGGTTCATTCTTAACGGAAGGCTGGGATGAATTTGGTTGTCGTTGAAACTTGGGAAGAATATTTCTGAATATATAGCACTTTTCAACGGGTCTCATCTTGCGCGGTCTGCACTGCGAAAGCCCGCCTGTGATGTTCGAAGGCATTGGTGGCACCCAGGCCAAACTTTTCTTCTAACTGGTTTGCACATGCTTTCAAACCTTTACACCTCAGCATATGGTATATGAGTTGACTGACCAGAAAGTGAATTTTTTCTCTGCTCAACATTACTTCCTTGGTTGCGAGCTATGCGCTGGGGTCTCTGCTTTAGTTAGTGCTAGATTCTCATAAGTTCTTGCACATAACCTGACAAATTACTGTGAAAGGTTAAAGATGGGTGTGTCAACAACTGTCACAATGTGAGGGCTTGGACCAGTGTTGGTGTGAAGGTTGACAAATACTCGTGTGGACACCATTTTAGTACTCCTTCATCATTGGATGCTTTCTTGAGCTTTACACTGTTAGTTTGCATCGTCATGCCCAGGTTCAAAGTACAAGTGCAAACTATAACAGTGCCAAGAGAGAGCAGATGAACAGGAAGAATGAATGTGCCAACTTTTGATTTATAACTGCGAGCTTAGTGGTCGCGTACGTAGGATCCGTGAAAGAGCAAGGCCACATTGTTATTTATCGAGGGACAGGAAATGTCAGAAGCGGTTTTGATATTGTAGTGTGAGAAAAGCGCTAGTGCCCGCGTTTCCTCTTTCGCTGCGTGTGAGTCTGAATTAGCATTCGTGACGTTGTTTGCAGCTTGTGCTTGGCAGGGAATGATAGTCTTTCTTGTAGTTTTTGGGTTTCTATGTATGTTTTCATTGAACTTGTCATAAGTAAGCTCTCAGGTCTGTTCATTCCTTCGATTGTCTGTTGTCTCTTGGTACTATTATGTTTTTCAGATATTCCATACCAAACAAGTTTTCAACCCAATTGTACATATTTTTATATATTTAAATCCTATCAGTTACATGTCAAAGTAGGGTTCAAGTTTTACTAATCTTACTCATACTAACAAGCTACTGTTTCATGTCTAGCTGCAACAGTATTGGGTTCAGAAATCATCGAGGGGACTGCCTCCTTGAATTTAGATTCTATAGTGGTGACACAATCAGTTTGTTAACATCGAGTCTCGTCGGTATGCCAGCACCGAAACGCTCGCTATATTGTGTCGGGTGTTAAATGATACGTGCTTCTCCGCAACGTCGCTCTGTACTGTTATACAACTTTTCTTGGCACTTCGGAAAAATTGAAGACCATGCGTGCACAGCTTTGATTGGTGCCGAAGACGTGCGAGCGCACGCTAATACGTGCAGCTTTGGCTTCATTGCCGGGAAAAGTTGTCCCCGAGTAGTTTGGAGGGGGACTGGTTGCAAGCCTTGTGAGCTACATATTTTATTTCTCAAGCGCGTCGAGCACTTCACCGGTTTTCTAGTAGCTAGTAGTTGGCCCTGCGACGAAAGTTGCCGAGGAAAACGCTTCGCTGAATGTTGTCCCTTTAATTTATTCAATTGATTTATTCAAGGTACCTCGCTGTGCCCATGAAGGCGTTATAGCGAGGGGGGGGGTTCGTGTACAGATGAGCATAGGTACAAAAACAAAAGGCACATGACATGAACATACAAAACAAAAATCTAATGAGGGTCGTTTTTTTGGGGGATATAGAAGAGCAGCGTTTGGGCGGGGACTGTTGGATCGTAAGTGTGGCAAACTCTGTGGTCACTGACAGAAAGGGAACGGCAGGCCACGTCTTTCGAACACACGGCCTCCAGCCTGTGCTCCATGCATTCCGCCATACTTTGGCTGCATGCGCGCTCGAGTTGCACAAGACGCCAAAGCGTTGTCGAAGGTAGCAAACTCACGTTGGAAGCGGGGCAACCGAAGCTCCTCCCTGCTGTTCTCACCTTGTCAGCGACTACAGTAGGTCGCCTTGTCAGTGACTACAGTAGCTCGCTGCGTGAGGGTAGTCAGAAACTCGGTGTCCTGGTAAACCTTGAACACGGCGAATCGGGCTAAGGGAAGTCTTTCGGAGGAGGTCTCGTGGGCAGCTTTCCTCCACATTATTGTGGTGCCACCGGAAGCATGCCATCAGTGGGTCAAGAGCTTGTCGATATTGTGCCGAAAGTGTGTCTACGCAACATCGGGAATCTGTCGGCGTCACGTCGGGAACGTGTTGAGTTACCTCGGCATAGCGTCGGCAGCGTGCAGTGAGCGGGTTGGTGTCGCATTGGGAGCTTGCCGATATTGTGTAGAAAGTGTGACACCAGGAACATGTCGGTGTTGCATCAGGAACACGTTGAGAGATGTCGGCACAGTGTCGGCGGCGCGCAGGGAGTGTTGCATTGCGTTGGGAGTGTGTTGGCGTTGCGCCGGGGGCACGCAGAGCGAACCGATCTGGCACCGAGCTAGCTCTGGGCCGCGGCGCGCTTTCCCCTAACCCCGTGGCACCCTTGGTTTGTAGTGCCCCCAAGCCCCTGGAAGCAGGCCTCGCCGCAGAGACCCTACCGAGTCATGGTAAATACCCATTCTCTCTGCCTCCTCCTCGCCCTCTTCCACTCTGCGAGGGCGAGAGATTGTGCCAGATCTGTTGGCTCTGTTTGGGCTGGATTCTCCGCGTGCCATCGCGTTTCCGAGGTTTGGTGGGAGGTGGATAGAAGAGCGGGAACATGGTGCCTGGAGTGCGTCCTCGACTGGTGTGTGCAGCACATTCTGAAATGTGGTCCCTCGATTTTCATTTTCGCCCAATAACATCCTAGGAGGTTCGTGCCGCTGCCTGCCGCGATCCTGGTGATGAAACAGTAGCGGAGGTGGATAAAACAAGCGCCTTTTCTGCTGTAGCTCGCTCTGCATCCAGACAGTCCGCGTAAACTGAGGGAAGGGACGCCACGACTATGCCGTAGAGTTATTATAATACACGCTAGAGGTTCAAGTGGCGCTCGTGTGCTGACGCAAATTGAAGCAGACAGCAACCAGTCGAAAATAGAATTCCAGTAATGGATTTCTATGGGAAAAAGTGAGGTGCACTTTCTCCCTGCGCTCGATCATAAGAGCAAATATCCCGAATAATTATTACGTACTACGTAGCTTGGAACATTTCTCAGTCAGGCAGACGAAATAATTGGACAGTTACGGCGTTTTTCTTTCAAATCCATTGCATTATAAACGGTGCTAAAACGACTTTGTATGTGTATTTATGTGCACTGTCGGGCACTGTTAGCACGAAAATAAACGTCGGCGCTTTTCAGTGTGGGGGATATACGTGCCAAACGAACGAAGGACATCTGGAAACCAAGGTAGACGGCAAGAACTACGCACAAACACTGGATCACTAACTACCCGTGCATGTACGATCAAAGGCCACGTGATATATTCCGATTTTAAAGAAGGAAGTACCGCTTTATTCTTTTTGCTCTATGCGAAGATGCTTGTCCTACGTTCAAAATATCACCCGCATGCTCGAAATCTTTGAGGTCAAGTGCCCGATAAAAGCTGTCAGCAGAGAAAACAATACGAAAAGACACCTTTCATAGCCCATCTACTTTATTGTATATGTTTCGAATGCTTTTATCCGCTCATGCACGACGGGGTCATTTTCACATAGTGACAGGACTAGCATATTCGCAATATATAAGCATCACCGGAATGCTGGCGAGCCTTGAACACACTCTATATTCCTTTCGATTGTAATTTTGCTTTGAATCGTCGCTTGTTTTTACACACCTGCTGCGGAGCATATGTTTGGGACTGAAACGTAGCGAGGTTAAACATTGTTCACTGATGAAGACGAATGCGCTAACTAAAGCAATTACACTTTACAATGTTAATCAAGGTACATACTATTCGGTACGACCCAAATAATCAAAGCGTTCCATGTTATTTTTCGGCAAAGAGACAAAATGCATACGCGTTCTCCCATAACAAAAGCACAGGAGCACCGCAAAAGTAGACTGGTTGCTGTCTGCTTCAATTTACGTCACAGAAGTCTCATAGACACGTGCGCCAGATGAACCTCTAGCGTGCATTATAATAACTGAATGGACGATGCGACCCTCGCATGTGTGTGTGTCCTTTTCACCGCCATTTCTACGGCCAACTGCCAGGATCATGGCGTCCGATGTCATTTGTTGCCACTTGGGACCACTTCCGGTGCACGGGCGGGACGGGATGGGAAACACATCGCTCATAGACGCGCTTGTGGCACCGTGGCCTTGACTACGGTTGGTGCGGATTCGGCACGTTGGGGCTGGGGCACACTTCGTGGGTTATGGAATGGTTCATTTCATTTCCCCGCTAATTCGGAGGCAGACCTGCACCGCCGAGGGTGTTTGGTCAGCCTATTAGGGAGGAGGACAGACCGTTACGCCCCAAGCGGTTAACTTATCAACTACACGGATGGGGACAACAAATACAATGACGCAGCGCTCGGCCGACATAACCGAATGCGGCGTCAGCGTTCGACTGGAGTTCGTGTTCTCCGGCGAGGGGGAGGAGGGGCTCTTTTGTTTCCACGACGGCCTGCATGAACAATGCAGCATGCACGATCCCAGCTTAGCACAAAAGCCGAAGTGGGTCAAGCTCGCATTCTCAGAAGATAGATCCGGCACTTAACGTCGCTTCGTCGATTGTTAGTATTTTTTACATTAAACTGTGCCCCGTGCTCTATTGTAGAAGATGACATGGCCATGCCTATAAGGCCTGTTGGCATGTGTACAGGCCTTGTGTTGAGTAAACACCGAGCGTGGGGAAAACAAACGGGTCAGAGCGCCCCCTATAGTTCGATCTCCTGCCCAATACCCTAGCCGTGCGGAGCGTACGTTTGATACATTCTCTGGTTTCATTTTACAACCTTGTAGACCAATATCTGAAAACCTAAGAAAAAGGCCTCTTCTATCGCCATGCAACCTCTGCCGGTGTAAAAACCCTAAGGGCTGGTTCTCGTAAAATGGCCACCCGATGCGCTGCATTTTCTTACATTCCTTCCGTCATCTAAGGGGAAACACTTTTGTAATGGAAACGAATATCTTGTAATGTGTGTGGGGTTCGCCAGCAGTTAGCCGACCATAGTCGCCTACAAAAAGAGAATGGGAGGAAGACCCTTCCATTGTCCCGCCACCTCCAGCATGAGCTTTCTACCCTTGGTAACACTTCTCGTGAGCTGGGGCATGCAGCTACAGCCAAGGCATGGCGGAAAGCAATGTACATGGGCTGGAGGCCAAGCATTCGAGAGAAACGTTTAACCTTTGTCACAATGCAGATTTTAGACTGTGTCTGTTTGATTTGGATTTAGCTCGGTGCTTCGTGTATTAGTATACTCTGTCTTAGTATGACTCGGCAAGCACTGAAAGCTGTGGCCCAAGTAAGCCAATAAGAGTGCTTCACAGGGGACAGTGCATTATCGTGGGGTTCTCTCAGATGCTCTTGTTGGCCCACTGAGGTCATAATCTCTATGAATTTAGCCCAATACTGCGACGGAAGGAGGAAAAAAAATTTTGACAATGGTAGAAAAAGAAACGAAGACAGACAATGTCTTCAGGGTTAAATTTATCGCGGTAAACTTCCGCCAGCTTGCCTGCATGCTGACTGTATTCTACCGTAACCTTCATGGTTTGTCAGGTTAAAGCCTATTCACACACACAATACGTTTCAAACTCGGTGCTGAGTCAGTGGTGACGGTGGCATTGATGCAACATGTTCTTCGCGATATCTCGGTGCTGAGATGCATGTGCGAAAAAGGCTCAATATTGAAACAGAATACGGGACCACTATGGCCCTGTACCGTTTGTGCTTATGGACGGGACCACGGCAGTCCTGTACCGTTCTTCCTTACCTGGACCGCGTGGAGTGGTAGCTGTTTGAGAGTGATGCAGATCCAGATGCAATATGCGAGGCTTTCAATTTCTGCTGAAGATGAACAAAGATGCCCGCGTCCTGTGTTGCAGCCATGATAGCGAGCCAGCAGGCAGCGGCGTGCGCAGTGGCGGCCTCTTCGAACCTGCACCCCTTTGTGCCCAAGTGAGGAAAGGCGTCCCCCGCAACAAACACACGAGCCACAGTACCTGCCGGGAGACGGGGGAGTCTACCCTTCCCCGAGACCGCCCCCGCCCTCCCGCCTCCGGAGTGTGTAAATAGGGAAGGGCGCGGCCAACGGACCGACTGCGCCAGCCATGCCCTCCCCGTGTGTGTGTGTGCGCGCGTGCGTGTGTGTGTGCCTGCATGTAAATAAGGGCACCGTGACTCTGCTGCCCCCCCCGTTGTATGATAGCGTCGCGATTCCCATGACACTGCCATGACACCTCCCTAGCGTGCGAGAGCCATCCCGTTTTTTCCCCCGAGTCTCCCGCCACGGCCAGGGAAACGCGCCGCGTGCGAACTCTGCGGTCGTTTCCCTCTGCGTTACACGCAAGCATACAAGTCTGTACAACGCTAGGCATGTCGTCTCCCCCTCCTTCGCCGAGAACGGAAACCCTCTCCGCCGAAGCGGAACCTTTTCTGTCGTTATATGACGGAAGTTTCTCCCGTCACTTGGGGAAACGGAGCTACCGCCGTTATGTCACAGGTCGTCGTCGGGGTTTGTTTTTTTTTAACGGAAGAGAGTTTGGGGGGTGGTGTTTTTCTTTCTCCCCCCTCCCCACCGCTCCTCCCCACCTCCTCCCTCAGACCTTCCCGCGCGGAGGTTGTACAAAGTGTTAAATATTTCGTGCCGCTATTACCGTTTTCACCGTCAACTATAATTTCATCCTGTTTTCCCCTTTTTTTTTTCTTACCATCCCCTGTTGCTTTTGCAGCAGCGATTTTAATTTTTTTTCTCAACCTTCTTTCTCGCAATGTTCTGTTGGTGTCCTAGTGACTGTATTTTTACGGAAAGCGAAATACATTTGTGCCTTTGTGCACCTCTAGTCTGCTCTCGCAGTCTTGGTGATTGGGGGGTGTCGGCGGCAGTCTGGACGATCACGATCAGTCAATCTCGAGGTCCGCTGCCGGTACTCCCTGTGTTAGGTTTAACGGGGTGACTTGTGGAATGCCATCAGCGAGTCTCCTCGGCTTTGTTGCTCTATTAACTACGGACTTGTGTTTCTCGCACCTCACCGCAGCGTGCCTCGCCGGTTTTCGTGGCAGTGTGTGTTTTATCAGCCGATTTTCATGGAAATGCATAACGTTTGGGGGTAACGTCTGGCTGTAACGAGAAAACCGACACCAAAACGTGTTACGCCTTAGGGACCCATATAAAAAGACCAGTTTCCAGCAGGATTTGCACTCGCGACGTTGAGCCCAATGCTCGAGGGATGGCATTTGTTCTCGCGCCCAAAAACAAACCCTTTTTGTGTGGCGCTCGAAGACAGCGCCGCACGACGCACCCTTCGAAGTGAGTGGGCGTCGTGCTGCGCCATTTCGCTGCGTTTGTGCGAGATGGTGTTTGTGGGTGAATCTTCAACACACTGGCCTTGTGGTAAGGCAATGCTGTTTCGGCTCCTTTCCCTTTTTCTGCCGTGGCCGTGACTGCTACGATGCAGACAGCTGCAGAACGTAAGCAAGCTTGTCGGAAGCAAAAGAAATAGCAGTAGGCAGCAGGAAAAGCCTTCACCAGGGACGCCGCAGACGAACACTGACACACATTTGGTGCTTACCAGTCTTTGTCAGCGTGATCAAGCATGTATAAATTTTGACTTTTATTATAGGCGCGTGACATCCACAACATTGCGGTCAAGTGTGAAATGGTGAGTACCTGTTCTTCGAATTTGATGGTGGGTGTAAATATTTGAGCATTTTAGTGTCCGTGTAAAATATTCCATTTTCGAGATGTTAGCCAGAATGTTTTATTTTGTGGGGAAAAACAAACAACTAAATTCCTGCTAAATAAATAAGTTTTCAAATTTTTTTTTTTTAACTTTAAATTACGACTTTTGAGGCTCAGCTTTATGACTTCTAAACATCTGTTCTCTCTCTCACATTGTATTTTTTAAAGCAGCAGTGTTGGGAGAGTCTCCTACATGGCTTCAGCTGCATATCTTATGTTTGTAGGAAACGTCATCTTTACGAGTGAATTGAGAGAAAAGGCATATGGTGTGCTGCATGGAGTAAACTTGCCTGCATCTCTTTAGCTGGCGGTGCAAGTGTGGGTTTAGTTCCTGTGCGGTGCCAGCCTTTGAAAACCAGTTTCTGCACATTGGTTTTTTGAGGCATTGCTGAGGTTCGTTTGTGGGCTGTGTCAAACACGGTGATAACTTTTCACATTCGTTTCAATCTTAAGGTATACGGTTCTTAAGTAACCGTGGCATATTCTGTGTTAAGTGTGACCGCATGCATGTTTTACTTGCAATCAGCAAGGGTGATAGCAGCTAACGGGCTACTAATTGAAGGGTAAGTCACGAGGTTTCATGACCATAACCCACCAACCGAGCCATGGTGTTGTATTACTGTGACGTAAGGGCAGCAACGGGTGCCAGGAGTGCTGTTCTCTCCGTGCAGTCGACAAAACGCACAAGGAGTAACTTGAACATTGTCTGCTCGAACAGGCACGCCGGCTGACTGGCTAGTTTGGTCTCTCGACAGATCTGACCACCGAGATTCCTTGCATTGTTTTTGGCTTGATTTATGGGCACGATTTCACCATGCTAAACATTTTTTCAACCCTTCTGTCACCTAGAGGCAGTACGTTCCACCACCAACAGCATTTTTGATGCCCACTGGGAAAGGTGTTCCAGCTGTTTTTTGGTTTACTTTTTATCCCAGCTGTGGTGCATTTTGCAGTATATACAGTAAAACCTCGTTATAACAAAGCTGAAGGAGCGGTCGTAATTATTTTGTTATAACCATTAGTTTGTTATAGCCAATGTCCATTTCTTCCCACTATTAGCAAGCAAGGGGAATTATGATTCCTTTGTTATATCCATTAGTTTGTTATATCCTATTTTGTTATAACGAGGTTTTACTGTATCGCTCCTTCTCAGTGCTCGTCAGGGTTTTTGTTTTGCTATATTCCTAATTCACTGCGCTATGGATAAAAATAATTAATAGCCACACACAATCAAACCAGTAGGCCATTTTTAATTACAAGCTGTATTTACTAGAAATCTGCGGGGAGCACAATTTCACCGATATACGAACGCTGCCTCCTCCTCTCTGTAAGAGGCCCAAATAGTGACTGCATAAACTCGGAAGTCGGACTGGTAGCTAGCACAATCCCTCACTTTCGGCTTCTGTTGTGCCGCAGAAGCGCAGCAACGTTGATGAGCTGCCGTGAACAAACGTCGATGATTAGCCCCCTCCCGATCAATCTATTGAGGTTAAAAAAAAGAGCTTGGGCTGGCCTTTTCTTGGTACCACGGCTGAAATGGCACTTTACGCACACTAATGAGAAGTGCACCAGGTTGCTGTTGTTTTATTGCCATCTTGAATTTGAAGTCTTTTTTTTCTTTTTGAGACTTAGACATTTTACTTTTCCCTCATTCCTAGTCAGCTGCCACCACACAGCACATAAATTTTTTTCTGAACGAGATGGAAATATGGCTATTGGCTTGCTCCAATCAATGAAGGTAGTGTACTCGTGCACAGAGTCGTTCATTTGTATGAATAGGTGCCATTCTGTAAGCGGCACATAGTTAGATTTATCTCCTTTTTGATGACAAAGTCCCTCACCAAACACAAATAATACTTTTTTTTGCTAAAAAAAAAATTTTTTTTTTTTTTTGGTTATGAGGTAGTTTTTACGATATGGCTGGCATCTGTTACGCTGAATATGATCGCTTTGCTCCGGTGGTCGAATATGATCGAATATGCTCCGGTGGTAGTGGCAATTGGAGCAACAGTTTCTCCTATTGAGGCTCTTAACAGTTCTAAGAATTGAATTCAGAGGATGAGAGCTCAACATCTGGCAAAGGAGCTCCATAAAGGACCTCAGATTCCGAGAGTGCTGAAATGTCGTGAAAGCGGATGCATCAAATTGGGTCCGAATGAAAGGAGGCGACAACTTTTCAGCCTCACTATTTCTATATCAAGGGTCTCCAAACCCCGGACCGCGGGCCAGATCCAGCCTGCGGAGGCCTTCCGACTGGCTCGTCACTGGACGCTGTCCTTCCAGTAACGCCCTTCCTGCGGCTCGCTTCCAGCAGGCCTGCTGCTAGCACCGCAAAAAATAAGCTTGTGTAAAAAGAAATGGCACCTCGTCACTTACCAAACTCGCACATGAAGAGAGCAGAAAAGACGAGAACTATTTACTTACCGTAAAGTTCTGAAAGAACGCCCACCCAAAATGAAGAGATAAATGGTGGAAAACATGGGGTGGGCTATCTTTGGGGATGCCACAGCAAAACTTTATAAAAAATTATGGATAAACAATGGGGCAGCCGCTACAAAACCACGCGACACGGGAACTGATATTACACCAAGTTGCAGACACCACAAATTCGCGTTTCACGATGCGACAAACGCACGGGAATTCACTACGAACCCCTGTGTCACGGGAAAGGATACCGCAGGTTGTGGACGCAACAGATGTGCGTTTTACCGTGCGAAGGGCCCACGGAAGCCTGCCGAGAACTTGCATCTCGTGGGAACGAATACCGCAAAGCGCGGATGCAGCAAATCCAAGTTTTAGGGTGCAATAAACACGTGGGAATCTGCTACAAAAAACTCTTATGTCACGGGTACGAATAGCGCGGATTGCGGACGCTGCAGAATCGTATTTCACGATGCAATATACACGCGGGACCAACTTGCGTGTACGAAAATCGATATTGCATGCGGGACAAAAACGCGGGAATCCGCTATAAACTCTCATGTCACAAGAACGGATACAGCAGATCGCAAACGCAGCAGATTGGGATTTCACAATGCCATGTACACGCGGGAACAACTCTCGTGTTACGGGAGCAGATATCGCGCGCGCAGATCGCGAACGAAAATGCCGGAACCCACTATGAACTCGCTTATCAGACATAGTGGTACAACAGATCGCACGGCGGATGCGATTCTTGTCAGACATCGCGTGACGTCTGATGCGAATAGGGGGTAGGCGATGTATGTAATTTTCATGTTACAGATAGTTATAGTAAGTGTTGTCACTTTGTCATCTCGCGGTAGGACAGAACCGCGAAGACCAAACAGGCAGGCCGGCTACCAGGGTAAGAACGCTTTATTCCGGGCAGGCGTGGAAGTATATATAGCGCTGCCACAGGCCAATGGCAAAACCGGTAATAAAACAAACAAACAGTAGATAACAGTATCGTCATGCTTCAGTGACGCTGCCGAAGTGATAACAATTCTCCTCTTATAATTGAAGGCGATCAATGGGTTTCTGAGTCCGGGTGGATCGTCGCAGCTCGAACGGCTCGCAGATGTCTTCTGGCTCGCTGGAGGTCGTTGTGTCACTGTACAACTCGTTCGCAGGGCTTCTGGCCGAGGCTGCAGGTACCGCGGCTCGGGCCAACTGGTCAGCAGGGCTCCTGGGAGAGGGTGCAGGTACCGCTGAACCGCTGGCGGCGGGGGCCTCGCTGATTTCCGCCTTGACCTCCCATAGCCGTAGTTGATCGAGATGACGGCGGACGTCGCCTCCGGGAGTAGCGACCACAGTCGTGCGAGCTCCGTGGTTGCTCTCCACCACCCCGGGCAACCATTTCTCACCTTGCCCGAAGTTCCGGTACCACACGGCAGCCTGAGGGCGAATTTTTGGGACCTGCAAGTCAGGCGAGCACACTCATCTTGACGGCACAGCAGTTTCGACGCGCGAGCGTACTTGGAAATCGGGTAAGAGTTCGGCCGGTGATTTTCCGTCCGACAGTGGAGTGCGACGGTAAGACAGCAATACTTTCGCCAACTTCGTTTCCAAATTCCCGGTTGACAACTTTGCTAGGGACTCTTTCACCGTCCTGACCGCCCGCTCTGCCAATCCATTAGATTG